CGACTAAACAACAATGACAACAAATAAAATTAAACTCTGGCTCCATGGTTGAGGGGCTGTTTTGTGTTGCTCAGACATGGTTGGGCAAGGAATTAACAACAGCTGGACCACAGCCAGCTTTGCTGTAAACTAGGCGCAAGCCCAGTGATGCCCAATTCATGTCATGAGTTCTGGTTATTAGCTGTTTTCTTCAAACATTTTTCACAATCTGTGTACCGGGAATTACATCTATACCAAATTTCAGCTTTCTATCTGTTGCAAAAGTACTGAACGATCCTAATACCCCCATAATTTTGTGGTCCAGGGTGGCCCTATATAATTAATGAAACAATGCACTTGCCAGGAGAACATGATTTCAAGAAGCCTCCAAAAGCCACACTTATTTTCTCAAGATGAAATCACCTTGTACTTTTAGGCCTTCCTTAAAGCAGAACAATTTGTCATTGAGCTACAAACAAAAATGAGTCCCTTGCTTTGTCTTCACTTTTATTTTATTTTTAACTATACCAATTTCTTCAGCTGTTCCTATCCTCCAGGCATGTAGGTTTTATCATTTCCAAATGAATGATAAAGTATAATAGTATTGTCCACTGGCATGGGATTTTTAAAAATTTGTTTTCCTTGGAACGGATCGTCATTCTTGAATTCTTAAGCACCCAATAGAAAACAGTTACAATTCTCATATGTACCCACTCTTCAAGCGAAATATTCCCTATGCCCTAGAGACAATTGATTTTGTAAATCCACATCTTCTTTATCAAAAACAGGCTCTTCTGAAGCTTTTTCAGATCTTGTTTGGAGTTATATTAGCATTTGGTGAGCTTTTCTTTGACAGAAGGTTAGGTTGGCATTAGCATAGTTCTGAAACTGTGCAAATAATTATTTCGTGCTCAGCTGAAGCAATGAATATGCAGCAGTCAATTACTGTAATCTTTATTTATCCTCAATCTCTGGAGAGGTGTGATGTGACCAGGGTGAGCCTGAATGACAAGTCAATAAGGAATGAACTTGATACTTTTATAGCCTGATCCACAACCCAGTTAAGCCAAAGTACTTGGATTTAAATCAGTTTAGTCCCATTAAAGCCAGTCAAACTAAATCACCTTTACTCCAAGAATTTTGTCGTCCATACAGTGCATGTAAAACAGGGCTGTCTTTTGTGAGGCTTGGGTGCCTTTCAAAAGAGGCTTAAGTCACTGTTCATAATGCTGTACGTCACCAACGTTAGGCCTTGTCATCTTTGAACACTAAATGGACCTTTACCAAACCTATTTTGCTATATAAATTTGCTTTTAATCCCCATCCAGGTTACTGCAGTTATGCTTGTTATTAAAATGTAACCAAGTATTGTTCTGCTGTCAGCCACAACAAAGATTTGTTACTCTTTTAAAAATTCTTGGCTGTATTATAGAAGCTATAAAAAGGCTAATAGGAAAGCAATAACTGGAATACATCTTGTACAGGACACATTGCTATTTCCTAGCATAATTCACTTTACAAAGTAACATTAGAAATATGATAAAACATTGAAACTTCTATAATAGTCTCAGGGCTTTTCTTGCTAGGTATAACCAGCCATTTGAAACCAATAAGTCTGATGACATTGTGGATTCTTTGATATTCAGTGCATTTCATATACAATAAACATGTAGCTCTCGTTGGTTATCATTAAGATGTCCTTTGCAGCAATGGCTGTTCAAGTTTTTGTGAAATTAACATGTCAGGGGGTTGGATATACACTGTGTCTGGATGCAGCGTAAAGGAGGGGTTATTGGGTTGTCTTTGTTTTTAATTTTATGATGTATTTTGTGTGTTTTTTATATTGTAATTTTATGTTATGAACCGCTGTGAGATCTACATGTACAGCGTGGTGTACTACTACTACTACTACTACTACTACTAATAATAATAATAATAATGCACAGCTAAAGTGCTTGGGGAAAATGAGCCCAGGTGAACATTGGATTTGAGTAGCCCTGCTACCATTATCTAATTCAAAGGAAGAAAACCTCTCTTTCCCCAGCCTCACAAGAATCAACATCTGCAAAATAATGTGAGTTTTCTTTAATAGCCAGACAGCTCCTTTGAGGAGGCAGGACTTAATGCACTAGAGATTCAGTCAACATACCGTATTGGCCCGAATATAAGCTGCACCCGCAAATAAGCCGCACCTTTAAACTTCAAGGGGGAAAAAAGACAATACCCGAATATAAGCCCTTCCCTTCCACAGGCACTCACACCCGTAGATGGCAAACGCAGAAGAAAATCCTATGGGTACTAGAGAAGACCCACAAGTGGGCTAAACACCAGTTCGTAGCACCATAAATGCAAATAAAAAAATCAATACTGCACTGTAAAATACGGCGAAAGCAATGAATGACATTAGAATTAATTGCACAACAGTCTCAGGCTTACAAATCAGCAATAAAACTTTTTGTTTTGTTCTGTTTTACCATATGTCTGTTTCAGCAGTGATATCGTAAAAGCCAATTTTTGTAAGGTCGCGAATTTAAACTGTACTTTTCACGGTCGGAATTTGGAAAAAAAAAGTGTGGCTTGTATTCAGGTCAATACGGTATATAAGACTTCAGTTGGATCTAGGCCCCTTCAGAGACAAGGGCTTGTGTAGCTGCCTCAGGAGATTTCAGAGAGCTCTCCAAATCCTGAAGGTGCTGGTGATTTATGATGGGGATTCTTTGAACTCCTGACATAGACTATTGGTTTGGCTGTTTGATGGGACACTCTCAGACTTACCCTGTGAGCCATGAGATCCCAAAGACAGGACACTATGCTCCACCAACCCTTTTCCCACTTCCATTCAATATGAGCTGCATCTCCAGGCTGATATACTGTAGGACAATTGTGCTTTATAGCTGGGAAAGATTCCCCACTCTTGTTTTAACACTATCTTCCTTCAGCAGTGTTGAACCCACTAACAGAATAATGTTAGTCCCTGTGAAAACAATTGGTCTTTCTCAGTAATGTGCCTGTTAGGACTCTGGCCCGTATTTTCTAATAAATACATATTGCACCTTAATTGCTAACAAAACTACTTGACAGTTCCTGCGTTACGCATCACCTTAATACAAGAAAATGTCAAGTTTTAATTTTGCGTGTTGCATATTGGCTACCGGAATGATTGCTAAATGTGTTTTTGAAACATTAATTGAAAGAGGTTTTCCACAGGCTAATAAAATCCTTTTCACATGATTGCAAGAGTTTGGATTCATTACTGAAAACGAATAATGTAATACAGTGACAGATGAGGGCTGGGAGCCAAGGTTGATCTTTGCAAAATGCGTTATGAAAGTTAACCACAGCTAGATGTCCGAAGAGTGAGAAAGGAATGAGCATGTGTTACAAAGCAGGACAGCTAGACTTGGTGGTGTGTGAGAGCCCTAAGTGGAAATGAGTCACAGAACTTCAAAAAGAACAAACCTTAATGGCATTCTTCGAGTGATACCACCTCTCTTTAACTTGGCATCTTGCTTTATGTAACCTGCTAGTGGTGTAAGATGGAGGAGGAGACATAATAAATGGAGCTTTTATGGAACAAAAATTGCCTCTTAGTATCTTACTTAATGCACCGGGATAGAGCCAACTGCTATTAACAACATTTGCAGGATATGTGTCTCAGTGACCATAAATTATACACTTTGCAATCTTTCCCTCTTCCATCTAGCATATTTTGAAATGTAAGTTACAGTATATTTTGCCGTAGGTGCATGCCATAAAAACACTGTGTGTGTGTGTGTGTGTCAAAAAAGTGATCATGTAACAATAAAATACAGGGAAACAGGCAAATTATCCATATATAAAAGCAATCACTGTTAATGCACTGAGATTTATCAGTTTAACCAAATGTTCTTGAGGGTACATATCTTCAGTGCAGTCCTTGGAGATTTCCTTGCACAAAGCATGTTAACTGCACTGTGTGACAAAATTCCTTGTGTGCGTTGCTGAGAAACGACTACTTCTGGATTATATCTTTCAAATGATTGCAGTTTCATTTATCCTTTAAAATAGCACATGAATCAATATCACACGCACACCCTTTCCAAATCACTGGTTTTTCTTCTCTCTGCCATTCTAAATACTATTGACAGGAGTGGGGGGGGGGGGGGGATGATATTCCCAGGATATCATCTGGACTAACATCAACTCATTCAAAATAACCAAGCATTAAAAAAAAAAAGACCATAATGAGACACCTAAATTGTTCCATTTGCTCCATTTTCCTTTAATTAGTCTTATGATGCTCATTTGTTTGCATCTGGTAAGCTTGGTGACATTCTGAACTTGAACAGAAAGGGGTTTTCCAATTGATTGCATTTGTTACCACATGATAGGATTTATAATCTAACTATTGCTTATTCTACTTGATTTTATAACACTGAGGCATCTCTGGTATGGATTAGGATTGAGGTGGCTAACCTGTAGCTATCTAGATACTGCTAGACTACAACTTCCATTACGGCCATTATGTTGGATTAGGCCCTATCTGCACTCTACATTTAAAGCACTATGATATCACTTTAAACAGTCATGGCTTTTCATAAAAAATCCTGGGAGCTGTGGTTTGTTAAGGATGCTGAGAGCAAGCATGGAGCAGTGGACTTGTAATCTGGTGAACCGGGTTCGCTTCACCACTCCTCCACATGCAGCTGCTGGGTGACCTTGGGCTAGTCACACTTCTCTGAATTCTCTCAGCCTCATTCACCTCACAGAGTGTTTGTTGTGGGGGAAGAAGGGAAAGGAGATTGTTAGCCACTTTGAGACTCCTTGGGGTAGTGATAAAGTGGGATATCAAATCCAAACTCCTCCTCCTCCTCCTCTTCCTCTTCTTATAAAAGTTCCCTGGGAAGAGGGATTGGTTGTTAAACCACTCTGGGAATTGTAGATCTCCATAGGAAATAGGGGTCTACTAACAATCTCCAGCCAATTTGACAAACCACAGTTCCCAGAATTCTTTTTGGGGGATGCCATAGCACTTTAAAGTGGTTTAACAGCTCAGCTAGCAGAGCATGAGACTCTTAATCTCAGGGTTGTGAGTTTGAGCCCCACGTTGGGCAAAGAAGATTCCTGCATTGCAGAGGGTTGGACGAGAGCCTCCGTCACTACAGCAGGTTCATATGCTTGTATAGCCTTTAACTGAATTTCATTTATTTGCTGCTGTGCTCTGGTAACTTCCATCATCAAGGTCGTCTCCTGACGCATCTGGTCCAGCTGGGCACTTAGTTTTGAAAAACCTTCCAGGAACAATTGTTCAAGCCTTTGTACTAGCATTGTCCTTCAAGGTCAAAGAAAATTCTTTCCCACGAGAATAGTCCAATAGTCCTTCTCTTTTAATCTCTCTGCGTTGCAATTTCACTAAATTCCACTAGATGGAATTTTTTTTTTTTAAAGGAATAAAAGCAACAGCAACAATCTTTCTTTTTCAAGAAACACTTTATCGAAAAATCCACCTGCCAAATTCAAGAGGCAACAGTAGAATCAAAATGTTACCCTTCTTTTAACTAACTGTCGAGCTGGATAAACTTCAGAACGTCAATTCTGACAGCCCGCTCCTGGTTCAGGGCGGTGGAAAATTGCTTTATTTTAAACTCACTTCCGCAGGATTGAAAAGTCCAAATACAACCCCCTTCTTCTCCTGCAGTCAAAGGGGGTTCAGAAATCTTAGATGTTGAATTCTAGTTCTCTTAGAATTTAATTTTCAAGCTTTAGTATATTTTGTCTTTGCTTTCTTCACATAACAAAAGAACGGAAGGCGACTTCCTGTTTAGACCTTCCCATTCCGAGTCCCAATTAAGTTCAATTTCAAGTCCAATATTATTTGTTTATTCACCAGTCTTAAAAGTGGTTCAACTCTTCCAAGATCAGGTACTCACGGATAGATATTTTAGATGCCAAATTGTCCAGGAAAAAGGCAGCGCTCTCCGATAACGGCAGTGCGGCTTTGCTGCACGGAGGAAGCAGACGACTCACAGCACCACGCACCTCCCACTCCGGAGCCCGTTGCCGGGCTCCTGTCCATGGGGAGAGCGCTCTCGGTGCCCGCCGAGTCCCACGTCCACAGGCTTCTTCCGCCTGTGGTTTTTGCGGGTCCCCGCTGCGCCGTAGCGGCAGGACCCAAGCCTCCGTGCAGCGGGTTCCCTTCAGTCCAAAGGGAATTCCGCCATTTTCCGGAGGCGCCACCCCGGAAGTGGACGAGCTGACCTCTTTGGTCCCTTCCAACTCGACAATTATATGATTCTAAATGTATAGTGCAGATGGGACCTTAGTTTGACCTTGAAGTGCTGTTCTTAAGAGCTCAAAAACAGAGCATGATTCAGAAGATTCTAGGAGCTATATTCTTTTGAGAGGCTAGCATGTCCTGCATTTCTAAAAGCAGCTATGTGTTCATTTAATACCATGTTAGGCAAACTACTGCTGCTTCATCTCTGTCTCCATCCATCCCTGATGGATACTATAACCAATTACGGCTGGATAACTTCTCAGAGACCACTTTTCGGCTTCTTCTCTTTTTTTGACAGATTTTTTTCTGCTTTGGTTTGAGAGATTATATTCCTTCTTTTTTTTTAGTAAGCAGACTGAGGCTCCAAATCACCCCCGGTTTAATTTGAGGACCCCTATTGTATTTCTCTCTCTCTCTCTTTCCTTCTGCCCCCCTCCTTCCAACTCTACAGAGTCCCTCCGATATTATTCATAACTTGTTTTTTATTACATGGAGGGTGGTTTATATTGTAGCGGTGCCCAGTAGTACTGATATATTTAGTGCTGTGTCAGTATTTCCATTATAACCCCCTATTTTCATGGGTTTATGACTTAGCTGTAAAATTTTACTCTAGGTTTAAAGTTGGAAGACAAGGTTTCAGCCTTGAAGCATTTTTAACAAGGTTTTTTTTTTAAAGGAAAAAAGAAACCCACACACATATTCATTTAGTAATTTTTAAGCTAGAGAAAAATGAGAAAATACAGAAAAGTAGAAGCTCACTGTATATCACTTTTTAACCTTCCTCCTTAAAAAACCCAACAGCTTTGCTCTATTTGTACCACCTGTATGCATAGTTTGGTTTGTCTAAAATTATTTACAATATGTGTATGTGGTTTAAAGGTATGTGTGCATACTGTGAGCCCATCTATGCAATAAATATTATAGGCCTGTGCCAATTTTAAAAGATTAGGTCATATTATTTTGACCATTCCATTTGATATATGATTGCCTTCCTCAGGAGAACCTACAGCCAGCAATCAAAAACCCCTGGAAAGCCTCAAACAAAACACCCACCATTTTGTAAAAACCACCGTACAAAAAGCCCTGTTTCCTCCTTTTTTCAACATATCTCCCCAAGTATAACATTTTGCCAAAAACATTAAGCTGATGTGAGGCCTGATCCAAATGAACTAGCAGTGGAAGCTTTGTACAAGTGGGAAAGGCATTCTTCTGTAAAACAAAAAACCACTACCTTGAGTTATTGCTTTCATCACAGCATTGGAGCTGACTGAGGTAATTTCAAGTTGCTTCCAAAAGTTTTTCCTTCCTTTGAATACTTGGACTATAATAGGGATGTCCCATTCTGTAATGATATTTTTACTATTTACACCCCACACATCTTACTGGGTTGCCCCAGCCACCCAGGGCAGCTTCCAACATATATAAAAACATAATAAAACATTAAACATTTTTTAAAAAAAAATCACTATACAGGATTGCCTTCAGGTGGCTCAGGGGTTAGATAACTCCATACCCTGCAATATTTCTCCAATGAAAATAGGAACATCCTAAGGAAAACTGGGACATTCTGGGATCAAATCAGTAACTGGAATGGCTTCTCTAAATCTGGGACGTCCCTGGAAAATATGGACACTTGGAGTGTCTGAGCTATGAACAAAGGATTCTGGGTTTTCATAAGTCATGACTGTAAGTTTTCCTCTCTTCTTCAAGCTGAAATTGTTGAATGTAAGAGGTCTTTGGAGCCATTTTTTCACCTTTCATCGATCTATTCCTTTATTTGCTTAAGAACATAAGCTACTACAACACAAAAGCAAAATAAGTAAGCATAACAAATAACACATATAAAAGAATATTAAAGATTTTACCACAGGCATGAATGGGAGACAAGGGATTGGGTGAGGGGGCAAATTCTAGGCTACAATGCAGAAACATCAGTTGTTTTCATTTCCTGTAGCAGATGATCATTCTGACAGGGTTTAGAAATAAACTGAATGCATTTTCACATTATTTTCTGTGCAACGTTTCCAAACAATAGAGCCCTATGTGTGATATATTTATACAAGAAGATAAATCTTTCCAGAATTGTATATCAGGTTACCTATGATAATGTCCCTGGAACACTTCAATGCATAGACAAGTCTGAAACATAATAATATCCTCAATGGCATTGTGGAACAAATACAGAGGCCTGCATTTTAACCAGGATTGTGGCTGTAGGAAGTGTAATAAGTGTTTACATGAGTATAATAAGTGTTTGCATTAAAGGAAAAACATTGTCCTCAGCGTGATGTACATCTGAGTAGAATGCATTGGATTACACTTTTAAATCAAGGTACTTCAGCATAAAAATAATGGGAATGATTAGATAAACACCATTAGCAAATATTTTCCACAATGAGTACAATAAACTAATGTGTGTGTCTGTGTTCAGAGCTTACATCCCTTTATGGTAAGGGAATCCTCACACATTTGTTGTGTTGGCATCTGTCTGCCTCCAGGGGTGAAATCAGACCTCTGTGTTGCAGTGTTGAAGTGAAAAGCTTGGCAGTGCATATAGAGGTCCTGGGCTGCCCAGAACAACAACCCCCCCCCCCCCCGACTTGCTGATGTGGTCCAAAGGAAAGCATTGGGCACTAGCTTGGCTACAAGGTACACTAGGAAGCATAGAAGGCACCATCTTGGTGACTGAATCTTGGTGGAGGGTTTTTTGGCCTTAACTTTTCTTGAATTCCTGTTAACCTACAGAGGCAAAATACAAGTGTCTGTGACCACTTTCTAAGTGTGGTTAGGGAAAGAGAACTGAGCTCCCCTGTACAAAAAATAATGATCATCATCATCAATCTTTATTACGGTCCAGAGACCCTACAAATCAATAGCCTGGAAATAAAATTCCCAATATTAAGAGATCTAAAGGAAAATAGCGCCCTCTTTCTAAACCCACCTCCATGTAGGCATTCAAAAGATTGCCAAATCAACTATGCCGGATTCTGCCTGGCTTTTTTACAAATAAGTCTTGACCTCATCATTGCTAATGGGGCATTCCCCGGGGACAGAGAAGGCGAGTACACATTCATAAATACAAATGGAGCCAGCACAGTAGACTACTGCCTCACTAACAGAGAGGCCTTCGAATCAATTAAAAAATTCACCATAGACAATAGGACTGAAAGCGACCACCTACCTCTAATCATCTCCACTACTGGCCAAAAAATAATAATGATATCCCTCCAACTGCAAACCAGTTTGGTCCCTAAGCCCAGTATCAAAATCCATGGGTGGACTACTGATTGCTAGTTAGTGTTATCATATGGTTGAGAAAAGATAATGACACCTGCTATCTCTGATGCATTGGAAGCTTCCATTAAAACCTTCCTCGTTAACATGTAAATAGATGTATCAACGTGTAGGAGTCAATAGACTAAAATATGGAACGTTTCTGTACTCTAGGGTGGTAGGCAGGAAGGTTTTATATATAAATATATATATATGAATGAGACATGCATTCAGGGAGATGCAATGAATAAAAATGAATATGAATGTCCAAAGAGGGCCCAGGTAAATCGTGCCTTGATACTACTCATCAACACTTACTATTCCAGCATTGCTTCTTAGCAGAAATCCAGCTGTAACAAAAACTGCATTTGTGTCATGGATTTGCTGAGTATTATATTGATTTTAAAGTGTGTCTGTCTGCCTCTTCCTTGTTAGCCTGATAAATATTCCTAAAGTAGGCTCTAATATTTGGTACACTTGCTGGCATTCCATTACCCTAATCAGTCAGAGAGCTGCCTAGAATATTATCTGAGATGTCTCCCATTCTCCGGTGATATTCAGAAA